CCAGGATTCATCCAACTCTGGTTCATCTGGAGGAGCATTTATACCATACTGTAATCTCACACAGGCCCAACTTTCATTCCATGGTCACAAAGATAGTGTGAAGTTCTTCATAGCTGTACCAGGTAAGCAACTTTTTATGTAATAATTAAATTTTGAACGCTATGCTAACCTTTTAGGAGCGCCTCGATCATATGAGGATGATCAAGAGGCAGAATTAAGGAAAATGCTTGTTATCTCTGGAGGAGACGGATATATCGATTTCCGGATAGGTAAGAGTTGACCGGACTAATTTCTTTGTGCTTTTCAACTTTGTTATCCTGTTTCTTTTCCTGTTTCGGAGTTTTGTAACCAGCTGTTACAAAATTTTGTAAAATTCGTCTCTTTCAGTTGTTATTGCATCTTATGTTTCAGTGAAACGAATGCTTTCCTTCTATTATGTAAACAAATATTTCTTGTTAAGGTGAAGAAAACGAGCCTCCGATAGTTACGAAAGGTGTTCGAGCGCGAGACATGTCTCACCTTATCATTTGGGAGGTGGACGCCGAATTGCCTGTGGTTTCCAAGTAATCTCTCGCTTGCTAGCGTTCTCTACTTCTTTACCTGTTCTCGCTTTTTGATATAAGGAGAGAAGTGATTCACTGGTCATTGTGCCGATCATTCGCTCCTTGCTAGTCAGCAGTAAGCCTCAAGTATCATCTGCTAGTATTCTTTACTGTATATTATATGTTCTTCTTTTGAGGATTAAACGCAATTTTTTTGCAATGTATGCAAATTAGAGTCCCAATTTTAAATACTATTGGAGTTTTCTTTTAATGCAAGAGACTGATGGATCTTGCCTTTCTAGGCCGTAAGGGATTCCATCTCCAAGTATGCATTTAGCAACCTTGAAAAATTGTAAAACCGTACCTTGCCAGTTGGTTAAGATTTTAGCTTCATATTCTTGCTAGGTTTCCAATTTCTGGTCATTCTGAGTTTATTCAATTTTACTTTCTCTCTTATATACTTTCGCGTAGCTTTTAGATTTTCCTTACGTTATGTATAATTTCTATGAACTTTTATATTATAGTGAAGTCATACTGCAGTTCTTTACCCTGTGCATCCTAATTGTGGAGTAGCCTAATGTTTGCTAGTCGTTCCGTGAAATTGTGATTGTTCAAGATCTTTTTTCTCGCTACAGAGTTAATAAATGTAAATAAATTGAATTATTGTCATTTTGTAGAAAGCAACTAATCTGCCTGCAATATCTTTTACCTTTTGTTGTGTATGTCCACCTCGAACCACAAAATTTCAGATGGCCTTTCGGATTCAACACAGTAAAAAAGCCATGGAATTCTTCATCAACTTCAGTGCGTTTCAACTAATATGCAGTCTCTTAAATAATATGTTTTGAGTAGTGTAGGCACTGGAAGTCGAGCTGTACTACAATATACTGAACTTCCGAACAAAGTGCTGGATTTCGAACATACAGAAACACCCCCGGACCAGCAAGGAAAAGGGATTGCAAAGATGCTTGTTAAGGTAGGACTTTGAAAAGTGCAGATTAAAATTGATGCATTTGGTAAATCGAAAGTGTGCAAAGTGGGAGGCGGTCCATTTGCGCTGCTCAGTCGTCCCACCCAATCTCGACTGCAGAATAATGTATTCTTGATAAGCCAGTCAAGAAAAAGGAATTTGAGTGGAGTATCACATTAACCCACAAAAATAATCTTGTGTATTTCAAGCCATAAATGTCATTTCGAGGTGGGTTTCACTTGTCAAATCTCAGTAACCTGTGAGAAATGTTTTTTAGAGTTTAGAGATAGTATGTGTGACTTTATGAGCGATACCTCTAATTGACAGCCGCCGAGGGCTTAAGCGTTCCTAAATTCTAATCATTTATCGTGTTTTTGACTTAACTACTTCATTGG